AATCTTTTATGAAGATTTACGTTACATGTATATCCCAGAACGTTATCTGTCGGAACCACCACTGATAGCTTTTACCAGTTTATTAACAACTAATAATGAATCCACCCTATGTAATCTAGCTCTCTATGTTAAATATGCATTTATTCGCCGTAACGAGCACTTACAGTTAACCATGTCTTAATGTATGTAACTCGCTTGTATAAGGGCCGGTGGCCTAAAATACAATAAACGATTGTCTTGTCTTGTCTTGTCAGTGGTCATTAGGGACAGATATCATATTAAAATGGAAAATACACACTGTCTCACAATATCTTTTGGCTGGTTACATGTATCAGGATAATTTTATACAAGTTTGACAGAGTGTTATGTGTCAAATATCTTATCAGAGTTTATGGAAATTTTGGCTTTCTCTATCATATAGTGACAGAAATACCTATATCGGATAAAAGTCAAAATGCTCGCATCCTCATTGCGACTGTCAATGATTTTTTATACTGTAATCACTTAACAGAAGTGATTTTGTACTTTCATAAATGACAATATTACGTTCGCATCATTTGATCAATATATTGGTCCTCATCACAGGGCACTAAGTTCAGTCCCAGGCCTGTAAGGCTTGTGTCTCTGTGTTCATCGTGTATATGCCAGTTGCTATGTGCTTATTATTTCCTTAGTGTTATGAACGCAAGACACAATGGCCAGTTATTGATTGAAACAGTGGACCCGACATCACTTGTGTGTGACAAGACTGGTTGACATTGAAAACCCACCTACACTGAAGACAGGCCCAACAATTTGAAGAATATCGTCATGTGATGTCATGTATCATATAAAATGTGGATCTCATGAAGAATGGCGTTGATGGCCTATGATGTCTGTAGGATTGATTATTATAATGAGATTAAGATCACATATGGAACCACATGTAGATCTGTGTACTTGGATAATAGACTTATATTGATGTTGGTGGATGAACCTGATTAGTTTGATAATTCTTCATTAGGCCAGATCAGTTTTATTTCTTGTTTTTCATAGTTTTGTCCTCAGAAAAACCTAAGAGCAGGAATGAAAAAAAATATTAAAAAAGTCACCAGTCAAAGTAATATTCCATTTATTTATTTTTTTTCTTATTCATAAAAGATACGAACAGCTGATCCGTAAAACGAGAAATAAAATTGGTCTGGCTTTTATGTTCCATACAGAATAATTTAGCGATATAACCTTTAGCTGCACTCTAGCAGTGTAAGGATAATTACAAGTTGTACCCTAGTAGTTTATTAATGTTAGCACTTTTTGTTCATTTATCTTTATGAAATATCACAAAATGAAATACTTGGATATGTACAATACAACAACAGAAAATATACTTTTAAAAAGCATAAGGATCATATTATTCGAAAAGTCAGTGGTCATGATGTGTATTGGGTTTCACAGATTGTACCCATGTGGGGAATGAACCTGGGTTTTCGTCATGGTAGGTGATTGCTTCCACCACTGGGCTACTTCACCTCCCCAACAAACAATGAAGTAATAACGGGATACATCGAGTGCAGGGAGGCTCACGGCAGAGATGGGACAATACATGTACTCGCCAACATACTCGAACTGACACTTTATAATGGTGGAATACCATTCCTAATGATAAGAGACAGATCTCTTTCATTTCCATTTTATGACAAATCAATATTGATTAGACATTTGTTGGCGTACAAGGATAGTGCAAACCATCATTTTCATTAGCTTTGATTATAAATATTCATAGGGTATTGTTGTTTTACTAGCCACTAAATACAATATTCAAACTATTGACTCAAGACATATTTAAACATTGTAATCTGAGGTTATAGAGGGTTTACATGGCAATGGAACAAGGGGTAAGATTTGTTTTACACAAACTTATGTGAAGAGAGGGAATGTATTTATGCCACTACTGAACTGTGTCACATTGACCTGTCAGTAGTTGAGAGTGGCACGATTGAACTGTGTCACATTGGCCTGTCAGTAATTGAGATGGGATGGTTGTGTCAGTTGGGTTGTGTGAGACATTGATTGAGCTGTGTCACATTGGTCTGTCAGTAATTGAGAGAGCATGATTGAACTGTGTCACATTGGCCTGTCTGTCAGTACATTGGCCTGTCAGTAATAGAGAGAGGCACAGTTGGGTTGTGTCACATTGGCCTGTCAGTAATTGAGAGTACGCCACGATTGAACTGTGTCACATTGGCCTGTCAGTAATTGAGAGCGGCACGATTGAACTGTGTCAGCTGGTGTCACATTTGCCTGTCATTTAGCTGTAATTGGTGAGATGCTGTGTCACATTGGCACAGTTGGGATTGTGTCACATTGGCCTGTCAGTAATTGAGAGTGCACGATTGAACTGTGTCACATTGGCCTGTCAGTAATTGAGAGTGGCACGATTGAACTGTGTCACATTGGCCTGTCAGTAATTGAGAGTCACATTGGTCTGTCGTAATTGAGAGAGTGTCACAGATTGTCTGTCATTGGTCTGTCAGTAATTGAGAGCGCACGATTGAACTGTGTCACATTGGCCTGTCAGTAATTGAGAGCGGCACGATTGAGCTGTGTCACATTGGTCTGTCAGTAATTGAGAGTGGCACGATTGAGCTGTGTCACATTGGTCTGTCAGTAATTGAGAGAGGCATGATTGAGCTGTGTCACATTGGTCTGTCAGTAGCTGAGAGTCAGTAATTGAGAGTGGCATGATTGAGCTGTGTCACATTGGTCTGTCAGTAATTGAGAGATTGGTCTGTGAAGTAATTGAGAGTGGCATGATTGTCACATTGGAGAAATTGAGAGTGGCATGATTGTGTCACATTGGTCTGTCAGTAATTGAGAGAGGCATGATTGAGCTGTGTCACATTGGTCTGTCAGTAATTGAGAGTGGCATGATTGAGCTGTGTCACATTGGTCTGTCAGTAATTGAGAGAGGCATGATTGAGCTGTGTCACATTGGTCTGTCAGTAATTGAGAGGGCATGATTGAGCTGTATCACATTGGTCTGTCAGTAATTGAGAGTGGCATGATTGAGCTGTGTCACATTGGTCTGTCAGTAATTGAGAGTGGCACGATTGAGCTGTGTCACATTGGTCTGTCAGTAATTGAGATGGGCCCAATTGAGCTGTGTCACATTGGCATGATTTGTCAGTAATTGAGAGTGCATGATTGACTGTGTCACATTGGTCTGTAATTGAGAGGGGCATGATTGAGCTGTGAAATTGAGAGTGGCACAATTGAGGCATGATTGATTGCTGTGTCACATTGGTCTGTCAGTAATTGAGAGGGGCATGATTGAGCTGTGTCACATTGGTCTATCAGAAATTGAGAGTGGCACAATTGAGCTGTATCACATTGGTCTGTCAGTAATTGAGAGTGGCATGATTGATCTGTGTCACATTGGTCTGTCAGTAATTGAGAGGGGCATGATTGAGCTGTATCACATTGGTCTGTCAGTAATTGAGAATGGCATCACATTGGTCTGTCAGTAATTGTCACATTGAGAGTCTGTCAGTAATTGAGAGAGTGGCATGGTTTGAGCTGTGTCACATTGGCCTGTCAGTAATTGCAGTTGAGAGCCTGGCATTGGTCACATTGCCTGTCAGTAATTGAGGGCATGATTGAGCTGTCACATTGGCCTGTCAGTAATTGAGAGGGGCATGGTTGAGCTCTGTCACATTGGACTGTCAGTAATTGAGAGGGGCACAATTGGTCTGAGTCACATTGGCCTGTCAGTAATTGAGAGGGGCACAGTTGGGCTGTGTCACATTGGCCTGTCAGTAATTGAGAGTGGCACGATTGGGCTATGTCACATTGGCCTGTCAGTATTTGAGAGTGGCACAATTTAGCTGTGTCACACTGGCCTGTCAGTAATTGAGAGTGACACAATTGGTCTGTGTCACATTGGCCTGTCAGTAATTGAGAGGGGCACAATTGAGCTGTATCACATTGGCCTGTCAGTAATTGAGAGGGGCACAATTGAGCTGTATCACATTGGCCTGTCAGTAATTGAAAGGGCATGATTGAAATATGTCATATCGGTTAGTTGGCTGTGGTGATTAGTATAATTGGTTTATTTGTGGGCTGTTGTGATTAGTACACTGCAACAAGAGTACAATGTGGTTATTAGTAGACTGTATGGATGCACCACCTTTTCTCTTTACAGGGCTCGATTTAGTGCTTTGTTACTTGCACTGGTGCAACCCAATTTTACAAAATACAACCTAGCTATGAGTCTATCTTGCACAAGGTGCAAGTCAATTGTTGAGAAATAAATCAACAATAAATCTAACATATGCATAATTATGCCAGCCCATTTTTCTTCTAAACTTTGAATAGCTATGGCAACGAAACATTGCTATTCATAAACACGTCTCGGCTATGACAGCTCTTGTAAACAGGGATCAGCTGTGTCTCAGTGTTGCTATGGTTTCATGGGTACTACATCACTGATTAAGGTTTATGTGCACCGAAACGTTTTAACACACTACGTTGCAACTGGAATTTGGCTGGTGCAAATAGGTCTTTATCTTAGGTTGCACCTGGTGCAAGTAAGTTAACATCTCTTAAATCGAGCCCTGCTTTATCACCACCTCTAAACACAACGCATGGGATTCACATGCACAACACACTAGCCCCATACACATGCATGGGGTGTCATTCTTGATTTTGACGTTTTTCACTTAATTTTGACAATCATCTCGCAGCACACAGTTGTTAGTGTTTGTTTCTAGATGGGTTTTTTTTGTTTGAAAGTGAAAATCGTACACATGCAAATTTCACGTAATACACCAATCACTATGGTCATAAGGAAGTGCAAGTGGTAATGCAAGTGGTGATGCATTCTCAAAACATTCATAGTTATCATCTCAACATTGATTGACTCTGATCTATCTCCCAATTTTTGTCAATCGTAAATTAAAAATGAAGTTCCCCTACTTTTTTTAAGAGTATATTTCCTATATCACCTCTTACTTCGTTTACAGATTCAAGGTAATGGGTAATGGTGCTTCGTCCAAAAATAAAAACACAGCAAATAGAAATTCAGGAACAGAGCGTAACCAAGCAACAACACCAAGAAGGGGAGGCAACTTCGAGGAAGTCCAGGTCCGGCAGGCGGACAATCACGTGACCCAGGACTACCGGGGAACGCCGCCACCGTCGACCAATCGACAGTCACCAAGTCATAACAATATGGCACAGAGAGATCAAGGGTCCAACCTGGCCAATGTAAGTATACAGAGACTGTGCCAGTCTGACCTGTGAGAAGCAGTTTCACAGAATATCATTGATAATTCGATTTCAAAGTTTTACAAAGATTATGCAGCAGATATGATATGAGACACAAAAAGTCTCAATTCCTGTTATTTTAGATTATTAATTTCATGGCATAACCGAGGTAACTTATAACAGGCCAATACACGGAAAGAGGCCTCAATGAAAAGTTCTATGTTATCATAGGCGGATCCAGAGGGGGGATGCAGGTGTGCGCAACCCCCCCTTTTGTCCTGAAAGTTTATTAAATGACCATTGAAACTCTGGTGAAAATGAAGTGTGCACCCTCTCTTTTCTCAATAGTGTGCACCCCCCCTTTCTCAAATAGCTGTATCCGCCCCTGGTTATAATGGTACATACAATGTTATATATATCTGAATATATACAAATAAGAAAATCTGATAATAGTAGTTTGATACAAAATTAAAAATATTTCCCACTTTGTGTGCATAAGACTTCATGTGACTGGGAGTATTGAGAAATTCCCCCTGAACTTAGAGAGGACCTGAGAACAACCAACCAGGATATGTCCCTCTGAGCTGTCAACCAATCAGAACTTAAAAGGAATCTTGAAAAAATGATATCAAGATCCTTGTTGATGAGATTAGCAGATCATAATACCGTAGTCATCATAATATGCACCCTTCTCCAATAACCCTAACCCCTGTCCAGATTCTAGATTGTTTAAAGTGAACTTTATAAGCTTCCCCCACAAAAACCGAATATTAACGTGACAGTCCGTATTTTCAAGTTATATAACAAATTTGTTTAAAAACACAGCGATGGCATGTACTGATATCAATACAGTCACTGTTTCATTAATGTTTAAACTGAATTTGTTTACTATGATCTCCAACAAGACATTAGGTCAGATGCTTATCTGGAGAGGGCTTTTCTAGGTTGGATAACTTGTGCCCAATCCTTTTCTTGAATGAATAAAATATGTTTAAAACAACACAAGACATTAAGCTTGCTGTTTACTGAGTTGACAAGAGGTGGTTATTATGGTAAATACGGCAGTATGAAACAAACTGTAATATAATATGATTTTCAGCCAGACCCACGATATAATGAGAGTTCTACACAACAAATGACATGGGAACCTAGGTACTTCCTCGTTGTCTCAAAGCCACATGGTATTATTGCCAACACTAATACCCTGGCAGTCAGGTTTTATCTCTGAAGCTGGGTTGTATAGGAGGTATTTCTTGCAAGAGTTTATGAACTGGATTCCCCAGTGCATGTCTATTCATATTCTCACACAAAAGGGCTGTGATACCCTTGAAGTGTTGCTTATAATCACTGGGCATGCTTAGAGATAATCAGATGTTATTGTTGAGTTCACATGTTGGTGGGGTGGCTAGGGGGAGCCCATTCTCTTCCCACAGAGGTTACTTGTCATATCTTCCTACGAACCTCTGTTCTACTACGGCCATATTTCCCGGTTCTCTTAAAATCCCCTAGTGGCAAAAAGTCGCAACACGAATTATCTCCCTTCTTTTTATCCAATCAGAACACGTGTTACGTCGACTTAGATCCAGCTTGACTAATACAAACAAATGTGGGGCCACAAATGTCTCTCATCAGCAGGGAATTGTGTTGATGTGACACACAAGACATTTAATGGCTAGCTTGTCCGTTGTCAACGAGGGCGATGGAGATGCCATTGATCCGCCATTACATGACTGAGTTCTGTCTAGAAGAAACGTTGCGCAACGCACAGGGGAAGAGGTTCTAGTTTTCCCAAAGCATACAGAAATTACCGAGGCCTTGCGAATGATCACTTTTGAAACAACGTCGCTGATTGCACAACTAAATCTGATTGCAACCAATGACGAACCCTGAACACTCGCACCATGAAAGGGCCGTATTAGAACAGAGGTTCGTAGGAAGATATGACAAGTAACCTCTGTGGGAAGAGAATGGGGGGAGCCTTGTGGTTAAAGCATTCTCTCGTCTCGTCGAAGACCTGTGTTCGTTTCTCCACAGGGGTACAATATGTGAAGCCCATTTCCGGTGTCCCCTGTTTTGATATTGCTCAAATAATGCTAGAAGCAATGTAAAACTAAACTCACTCACTCACTTTTTCTATTTTGAATTTATGGTTTTAAGCCAAGCAGGAAACGCAAGGCTATTTTGTTAGTCTTTTAAAATCAATTATTATAATCAATGTATTTTATTATGAAAAATTATATGTATGTGATATTATTGCTGGATTTAAGTACAAGGATTCACTTAAATTATTACCTCCCTTGGTACTGCCAGGATAAGGGTTTGAGTCTTGATTTGTCAGTGCCATTTAGATTTAATTAAAACGGCATACTGATGCAAAGTGAGTCTTTGTGTGCCAGCCCACTTTAAGCTGAGAATGTTGTTCGGATACACCAACCCACCAACCTGCTCACTCACCCTCACTCACCCTCACTCACTGAAGGTCAGGAACAACCAAAATGAGCTTAATTGTTCGAATTCAAATATTCTGTTTTGCTTGATGCAATTTGCATAAAACAGACAATTCACACAGGAAAAACTGCATTCTCATACCATGGAAACTGAGTGATAAACTGACAAGAGAAAGAAACTACATCTTTTGGTTGAGTTTATTGGATTGATTGATTTTCAGTTGAAAATATATTAAACATTAAAAATTGTATGTACATGTGCTATGTCAGCACTCACAAGATACTTCTTATTGACTTTGGTTTTGATTTTGAAGTTAAACTTTTGAAAACTAAAACAAACCTTTTCAAATAATAGAGAACTGTTGATGGGTATCCTTGATGTCTGTTGTTATAAAAATCAATAAATTTGCCTTTTTTTCTGCACAGATTTACATATCAAACCTTGAAGGGTTCATTGCAAATATATTTCAATATTTTCACTGAACAGATTTATATTTACACAATAACATCCCATGGATTATGTTTCATAAACTGTTGCATTAAGGAGTGATGGTTACATAGACACAATCAAATTTAACAACAATTCTTTCCATATACAGTCAAATCCCGATGAGTCGAATGCCGGTGTCTCGAATATTATGCATAACTCGAAGTACCTGTTGGTCCCGACCATTCGCTGTTATAGTTGTCATCATTTGAATACCGGTTACTCGAATTCGTCTCATAAATACACACGATAACTCGAGAAGAAAATTTGGTCCCATGAGATTCAAACAACAGCAATCTTGTACACATAAGCCGAAGTCAGACAATGAGAAGTTGATTGGTGTAGCAAACTGATCAAATTAACAAACCAGCGCAGCTCACACCTTTCCGCCACTGACGGGTGAGTTCAAAAGGCAGATTAGTGATTTTACGGAAATCACTGTCTGTGCTAATCAGACTGGAACTGATAAGGTGCCCCTATTAGTGACAGGGGAAGTCATTAGATAAACAAATGCTTAGGTGGAGGAATTAGGACTGGATCATCTTTTTTCTACCCTCATAGACATACCTATGTCTCGAATACATCGATAAGACGAATTTATTACTTGGTCCCCAGCGATTCGACTCATCGGGATTTGACTGTATTTATGAGTTATGTTTTACTTCTCACTTTGTGCAATGTTTGACATGCAGCGAGTGGGGAAACAGAGAACAGAGGTAAGAGATAATAACATTGTTTAATAACCATTGTACTATTGAATAAGAAGATATATTCCGTTGTGTGTTATCTGCAGATGATGCCTTTTTTAAATTAACAAATGAATCCAAAAACAAACACTTTCATTGTCATAAAATCAGTGATGTATTAAATGTCTTTGTGACAGCATATCAAGTAGTAAAGGAGTGTATGTATATACTGTGACATTTTTCAAAACCTGCCAGCCAGTCTGGATATTCTACATAAGAAATAACTTCCTGTTATTGGTGACCAAAGTGGTGATCTTTAAAGGTGTAACATCAGATCTGTGATTTAAAAAAGATGCCTTTAATTTTTATTTGAAACAAATGGTAAGCAAGGCGGTTGTTTTTTATATGTTTAAGATAGGTGTGAACTAAAGGGATACCCGAACTGGTCATCTGTTGAAGGAAATATGGAATCATCTTATGCATACATATAGTGCAAATTATTGAGGATGAATGTTTTGAAAGAAAAAAAAAAGTACCCTTCAAACAAAGAAACTTGACATGCTGTTTTGGAGTTTACTTACTGATTGCATAGAACTGATTCAAACATGACATCATTGCTCAGTTACAGTAAAATTACAAATTTCCAATACTTGATTATCCAGAAAGTGTTTTGTAAAATCACAGAGGGCTATCAAAGCCACTTGGTCAGAGGAAAATGTCAGTATCTGGTGTGACCACCATGAGCATCGATAACAGCTTGGCAGCGTGGCCCACAGAAGAAAGGAGATGCCGAATGCTGTCTTGAGGAATGTTGTCATACACTTGTTGAAGTGCTGTGTGCAGTTCTTGTAGTGTCTGAGGTGGCGGACTACGCTGGCGCAAGTGTCGATCAAGAATATCCCATAGATGTTCGATGGGGGACAAATCCGGTGATCGAGAAGGCCAAGCTAACAACTGAACATTGTTTTGCTGGAGGAAGACCTGTCAAACACGTGCAACGTGAGGTCGAGCTTTGTCATGCTCCAAAGATCACGCTGATGTAGCGAACAACGTGACGTTGAACTGGTCTTCTGGCAAAAAGTCTGGCTTTCCATAGCCAATTGCACACTGTCTGGTCAGGGATTCGGAGCAGTCCAGGGATTTGGATTGTTGTGGATGATGCGACCACGGTGTTTGAACGAAAATGTCTCAGTCGGATGTAGCGATCCTGGGCGGCGGTAGTAACTCTAGGTCGACCTGACCTGGGTCTGTCATTAACACTTCCAGTAGTTTTGTATCAGGTCCATAGGTTTGAGATGGTCTGTCTGAACACGCTGAAGTGCCTTGCCACATCATGCTGCGATGTCCGTCCTTGTAAACAGCCGATGGCGTTGTGTCATTGAGTTTCTGTCAGTCTTTTCATTCTCTTGTCATCTATAGTGGCTTAAAGCAATGCACGTGGCGTACCATTGATGTGGCTTTTTAAAGGCTCAGGGTGATACACAATTTCATGATGCTCGTGCATTTCATGTAGGGTACCTTTTAGCGATTCACTACAGACATGAGTGTAACGTTACATTTTTGTTAAACGCTTCTTTTTTTCAAACGTTTTGTCATCGGCAACCATTCCCGCACATGCTGGGATTCATCATGGATTGGTTTGTGTCAGATACTTTCCTAAAATTCAAATTTGTCCTATGTCAAGTTTATTTTTTTGAAGAGTATATGACATAAGCTTTTCTTACTATAATAGTGTCTTTACACAAACCATTAACAGAAAGTAACAACTCAATACCACCAATCTGATCTTACAGCTTTAAAGCATGGTACAGTGTTAGAATTGTTGTCTTGTTATAGTTTAATGTCACACACACAAGCAATATTATTAAGCTTATATATGCTACCAGTAATATTTAATTGTGATATACAATAAACAGGCTCACAAGACTTCTCAGAAAGCCTTGGAAATAAATGAGGTAAGGTAACCTCTAAGATCCCCTTTTTTCTTTTAGAATTCTGTGGCAGACATTTCATTCATGGATGTTTTGTTCACCCGGGTCACAGATCTGGCTGACATTATTGCACATCGTTCTGTCCACAGTTATTAAACTTACTTGTAGTTTCTACTTAAACATCTGCCCAAATATAGCAGGAACAATGATCATAGTGATGTTAGACCAGACTCTGGCTTTGGAAAGGCCTATTGAAATAAAAGTGAAAATAAATTGCAAATTCAATTTGTTATATATCTAGTTATTTATATATTTATTCAATCTTGTACAATGTGTGGCTGGAAGGGTGAATGCAAAAAACATGCCATGCAATAATATAATGCGGCCTAAAGGGTATAGATTCAATAATATAATGTGGCCTAAAGGGTATAGATTCAATAATATAATGTGGCCTAAAGGGTATAGATTCAATAATATAATGTGGCCTAAAGGGTATAGATTCAATAATATAATGTGGCCTAAAGGGTATAGATTCAATAATATAATGTGGCCTAAAGGGTATAGAGTTAGTTTCTCACTCCATACAATAACACTTAAAGCCCGAGTACCTTTTATAAGTGATTGGTTTCCTTATTCTGTTTTGATGGTAGTATAATATGACTTGTCTTCACTTCAAAATTGAACATATATTGTCAGTTTGTATTGTCTTGAAACTTCCACCAGATACTATGTTTGTGTTTTAGCATGGGATATTGTATCTTTGGTCTCACAGATATTACCAGTAGATGCATAACCATGGCTCCTGTGTCAGGGTGCATACAAAACAAGGAATGATGACTCTTTGGCACTTAGACATAATAAGGGAATTCAAATGATGTTTTTTACCAATTCTAAAAGAAATAACAATATGTTCAAATGCCATGGAAAAAGGTGAGCTACAGACCCTGTGTTTGTTATGTTTTTACCTCTGAACCACACCTTCCATATGTTTTATGAGTGCCACCTTCCCATACTTCCACACATGTACCTGTGCATCTCTCCGATTGTTTCTTATTATACATATATCCATGCTGTTGCATTTTTAAACTAATTTTTAAAGTGCCCATACCTGAGTTCTTTTAAACTCTATTCATTATCATAAACAATGCACACTTCAAGCAGTGCACTTGCATCATTATATCATATGTTTTCCCATATATGTACTAGAATTATCTTCTAAGCACAAATTCGGTTCACCTGTGTCTTGGATTGTCACACCATGTACAGCTGTGTCTGATATTGTCACACCATGTACAGCTGTGTCTGATATTGTCACACCATGTACAGCTGTGTCTGATATTGTCACACCATGTACAGCTGTGTCTGATATTGTCACACCATGTACAGCTGTGTCTGATATTGTCACACCATGTACAGCTGTGTCTGATATTGTCACACCATGTACAGCTGTGTCTGATATTGTCACACCATGTACAGCTGTGTCTGATATTGTCACACCATGTACAGCTGTGTCTGATATTGTCACACCATGTACAGCTGTGTCTGATATTGTCACACCATGTACAATTGTGTCTGATATTGTCACACCTCTAAGTGTATGGTCGTCCAGGTGTACAAGGCACACTGAATTATCAAATGGTTATGATTGGCATATATGGTACTCTTGTGACCTTGATTATTATACATGGTACATGTGTCTCTCTTGGGGTACACTGTTTGTCTCTGTATCCTGTATGTACCATGCTACCATATAAAATTATATTTCATCTGTAATATTTGGAAACATCAAAATAATATTTTGTGTACCATCTAACAGTTGTGTACCAGAATATTTGTGTTATTTGTAGCCATGACATTTATATCTTAATATTTTAGTTTGTTTTCTTGATGCTTTCATGGCAATATTTATATATATATGTCCTTTAATTATAATATTATAATTCCTGAATTGATATTTTCTAACATGCAAGAAATATCTCTAAAATTCCAAGTTTTCTGTTTATAGTTTGTGATGCACTTTTAGCCTGGTTTTACATTCTGTATGTAGATGATGTGTACTTCTGGTTTGATTTCCAATATCCTCCTATACTGATTGTTTACTTTTGTCTCCTTTATGGATTTGTTTGTATTTTGTTGCTATGGCGACAAGAGGTATTATACAACGCATGTGCCATCTTCTGTGTCTCTGCTGTTTGTGTGGTCTCCACTGACTAAACCAAATATGGAATAATATGACAGGGGACCGTGTCAAAACTCTATCAGAACCTATTTACTTTGCAGCAACCCATTCCTTTGACTTTACTAAACGCGTTTATTTGTGGGTGTCAATAATAATCTGATATGGGTATGTCCAGACTATTTCACAAGTAACAGCAGCGACAAATTGAACTTCCTACAGCTGCTATAAGCGTAAAAATATCCCACCTTGCTGTTGGCAGTGTCTTTCTAAACGACCTGAAGTGAAGTTATTCTTGTGATGTCCACATTTGTAACACATGATTCTGATCTTGAAGGCCTGGATATATCCAACATTTGACCTGTTTATGCCATACTTATATGTTTGTAATATTTAACTATACCTGACCATATCTGACTTCATTGCACCAACCGGTCTTGTTATACCACGACAGCATGACAGACAGTCTTGTTATACCTGACTCCATGACAAATTTTGTTGTTGTACTGACTCAGTGACAACCAATCTTGTTATACCTGACTGCATGACAACCAATCTTGTAATACCCGACTACATGACAACCAATCTTGTTATATCATACTGCATGACAACTGTACTTGTTATACCTGACTGCATGACAGCCAATCCTGTTATATCTGACTGTATGACAAACAGTATTGTTATGCCCGACTGCATGACAACAAATTATGTTATACCTCACTCCATGACAACCAATCTTGTTGTACCTGACTGCATGACAACCAGTCTTGCTATACCCGACTGCATGTCAACCAATTTTGTTATACCTGACTCCATGACAACCAATATTGTTATACCTGACTCCATGACAACCAGTCTTGCTATACCTGACTGCATGACAACCAGTCTCGTTATACCCGACTGCATGGCAACCAATCTTGTTATACCTTACTGCTTCACAACCAATATTGCTTTACCTGACTGCATAACAGCTTACTTTGTTACACCTGACTGAACAATTTTCATTAATGAATCATTTTTTTATGTCCAAAGTATGTTTTAATTGTGATGTCCCAAAAAAGAAATTCAAAAAGATTATTGTCTGCATCTGTAAGAGGAGTAATTAATTTTGAAAAAGTGACTCATACACTGTGAATAACCTATATTTTTTTCCCCATGCAACATTACAGAGGAACCCCCAGGTAAGAAACTACTCCTGCTAATTAATATAACTGTTATATCCTAAATCAATTGTCATTATTCTTTGATGTTTTCTGTTTGTGTGCACTTTACCACACACAGGTATTGTTCTCAGAACTATTGTCCCTGGAGTTGAAAACCTGAGTCAACTGTTTAATTTATCTCCGACCAACACACTAACACATGCACATTAATTCTCCCAGTAACCATGATGTGGTGTTCCTGGTTTACACATCAGCACATCACATTGCCACATCAGCACATCACATTGCCACATCACCACATTGCCACATCACCATATCACCACATCACCAAATCACATGTCACCACATCACATGTCAGCACATCACCACATCACATGTCAGCACATTGCCACACCACCATGTCACCACATTGCCACATCACCATGTCACCACACTGCCACATCATGTCACCACACTGCCACATCACCATGTCACCACATTGCCACATCACCATGTCACCACACTGCCTCATCATGTCACCACACTGCCACATCATGTCACCACATCACCACACCACCATGTCACCACATTGCCACATCACCACATCACATGTCACCACATCAGGGTTAGGGTCACCACATAGCCACATCACCATGTCACCACGTCACCATGTCACAACATCACCATGTCACCACATCAGGGTTAGTGTCACCACATTGCCACATCACCATCTCACCACATCACCATGTCACCACACAGCCACATCACCACATAGCCACATCACCATGTCACCACATCAGGGTTAGGGTCACCACATTGCCACATCACCATGTCACAACATCACCATGTCACCACATCACACGTCACCACATCAGGGTTAGGGTCACCACATAGCCACATCACCATGTCACAACATCACCATGTCACCACATCACATGTCACCACATCAGGGTTAGGGTCACCACATAGCCACATCACCATCTCACCACATCACCATGTCACAACATCACCATCTCACCATGTCACCACATTGCCATATCACCATGTCACCACATTGCCACATCAAATGTCACCACATTGCCACATCACCATGTCACAACATTGCCACATCAAATGTCACAACATTGCCACATCACATGTCACAACATTGCCACATCATCATGTCACCACATTGCAACATCATCATGTCACCACATCACCATGTCACCACATAGCCACATCACCATGTCACCACATCACCATGTCACCACATAGCCACATCACCATGTCACCACATTGCCACATCACCATGTCACCACATAGCCACATCACCACATAGACACATCACCATGTCACCACATTGCCACATCACCATGTCACCACATCACCGTCTCACAACATTGCCATATCACCATGTCACCACATAGCCACATCACCATGTCACAACATCACCATGTCACCACATCACATGTCACCACATCAGGGTTAGGGTCACCACATAGCCACATCACCATGTCACCACATCACCATGTCACCACATAGCCACATCACCACATAGCCACATCACCATGTCACCACATTGCCACATCACATGTCACAACATTGCCACATCACATGTCACAACATTGCCACATCTCTATCTCACAACATCACCCTGTCACAACATTGCCATGTCACCATGTCACCACATAGCCATATCACCATGTCACCACATAGCCGAATCACATGTCACCACATTGCCACATCACCATGTCACCACATCACCATGTCACCACATTGCAACATCACCATGTCACAACATCACCATGTCACAACATCACCATGTCACCATGTCACCACATAGCCATATCACAATGTCACCACATAGCCATGTCACCACATCACCATGTCACAACATTGCCACATCACCATGTCACAACATTGCCACATCACCACATCACCATGTCACCACATTGCAACATCACCATGTCACAACATTGCCACATCACCATGCCACAACATTGCAACTTCACCATGTCACCACATTGCAACATCACCATGTCACCACATCACCATGTCACCACATCACCATGTCACCACATCACCATGTCACAACATCACCATGTCACCACATCACCATGTCACCACATAGCCATATCACCATGTCACCACATCACCATGTCACCACATAGCCATATCACCATGTCACCACATCACCATGTCACCACATCACCATGTCACAACATTGCCACATCACCATGTCACCACATTGCAACATCACCATCTCACAACATTGCCACATCACCATGTCACCACATTGCAACATCACCATCTCACAACATTGCCATATCACCATGTCACAACATTGCCACATCACCATGTCACCACATTGCAACATCACCATCTCACAACATTGCCATATCACCATCTCACAACATTGCCACATCACCATGTCACAACATTGCCACATCACCATGTCACAACATTGCCACATCACCATGTCACCACACTGCAACATCACCATCTCACAACATTGCCACATCACCATGTCACCACATGGCAACATCACCATCTCACAACATTGCCATATCACCATGTCACAACATTGCCACATCACCATGTCACCACATTGCAACATCACCATCTCACAACATTGCCATATCACCATCTCACAACATTGCCACATCACCATGTCACAACATTGCCACATCACCATGTCACAACATTGCCACATCACCATGTCACCACACTGCAACATCACCATCTCACAACATTGCCACATCACCATGTCACCACATTGCAACATCACCATGTCACAACATTGCAACATCACCATGTCACCGCATTGCAACATCACCATGTCACAACATTGCCACATCACCATGTCACCACATTGCCACATCACCATGTCACCACATTGCAACATCACCATGTCACAACATTGCCACATCACCATGTCACCACATCACCATGTCACTACACAGCCACATCACCATGTCACCACATCACCATGTCACCACATCACCATGTCACCACATCACATGTCACCACATCAAATGTCACCACATTGCCACATCACATGTCACCATGTCACCACATTGCCACATCACATGTCACCATGTCACCACATAGCCACATCACCATGTCACCACATCATATTGCCACATCACCACAGTGCCACACCACATAGTGTGAACACTTGCATGGACTGATGGAGTGGTAAACTTCTGAGGCCTGCATCACATTTCTGCTCTCCACCCACATCAATCGGCATGCCATGATATATTCCTGAAATTCTGTTCAAAACGGTGTTTTATCACTCACACAAACAAATTACCCTCACTCACACACTCACATGATCGCAGTTTACTGGTTCCAGGACAGCCCCGCCTAACCCCGCCCAACCCCGCCCAACCCCACCTAGCGCCATCTGTTGTATATATGTACAACCTAGTGCTTCAAACCATATGACAATAACACTTTTATGGTTTTCACAACAGTTGAAGCTTATGTTGTCCAACATGAAGGTAAGAGTTACCTCTCAGTCTGATGCCTCTCTCGCATCTGTCAAAGTGATGTCTGTGAAGCTGCTCATTGAGGAATCTTTCTTTAGCACATGCACTGTTTCCTGAGGAAATATTCCACAGGATATTTCATGTCTGGAGTGAATGGAAATCAAATCTCAACTTGGTTCCGTCAAGTCCCGGACTATGTGTGAAACACAATCTGCTTTGAGAAAATTCTTACAATATTTATCAACCAATGTATTGAACTGGATGTTCTGAATTCCTGGGGTTATCTAGAACTCAGTTTAAAGTCCAAAGAGAATGTATTTAAAAACGTACGCTGACAAGTCAAACAACTTTGCATCAGATTGAATTTGCATGAAGCATAATGGCCCAAACATGAACAGTTTTTAAACTTCAAGGACAGGAAAATGATAATTGGCCTGAACAAATGGATACATAAATGCTTCTGTGTTTAATTTCTTATTATATAAATGTTTTTTTACGTCACAAGCACGATATATATGTTTGCTTTTTGTAGTCTGATGGTTTGGTCAGAATTCAGTAAAGCTGATTTGGAAGTGTAGAACGGATAAGTCAAACTGTTTTCTTATAACAACAGGTCTTTGAGACAACATGAGTTGACTGTAATCCAGTAAAAACACCAGCTTTTCCCTGTAGACAATAGGGTCATTTATATTAGGTATGATTTGTTTCGTGCTCAGGTTAATGATTGTAGTCATTTTACATCACAAACATTGACAGTGTTGTAAAGCCTTGAAAATTGTCAATTACTTATTTGTAATGACAAGAATTGTATATTTTGTTACTTCTTTCTATCACCTCCCATAATAAACTGATCTCCCTTCAGTCTCCAGCACTGACTATGATATCATCTGCTTTCTGTTTGTGAGCACATTGGTATCGTTGCGTCACTATTGCATGTGTGGAGGCTCTGGTGTCACAGTTGTGGCCCTTAGCTGAGGCACGATCTGCTGCTCATGTGTTCAACATTGCCATTTGAAATTGATTAGTATACTTTATATGTCAGGATCTTATCCATGCTTGTTAGTTTCACTCAGGAAGAGTTGTGTCCCTTGTATGTGCCAGGATTATGTGATGGTAATATATTTAGTCCAAATAACCTTCTGATTATAATCCTTAGTCTGCTTGTGGGTTTCTATTATCCTGGACCTACATTTTCGAAGCTCTCCTGGTGTTTAGATGGTCGTAAGTGCCATACATTAACACTAACTTACAACTATCGAAATCTTGGCCCTGGTTCCAAATACCAAATTTCACCACATGATGACTCCAGGTTTGCCAATGATATTCTTGTGGGTTTCATCAAGTAATAAATGTCCAACACCTCAGCCCCTTCAGACCTCATTAAAACAATAAGCTGACTCCATGTGCTGTAACTAAAACACAGATCAGAGTTGATCTGAACCTATCTCACTCACTCACTCTGGCTGTTACCACCCGCCCACCTCTGTACCACGGTGTTACCCAGCATGCAGCAGTTTTCAGGGCTACAGCGTGTGCTGTTCTCAGCCAGTGTCATTAGAACACAACATGTTTGTGTTTCAATACAGTAAATCAGCACTTAGTCCTTCAGTAGGGAAGGGACATGAATATTTAAAACTATTGTTGCACATGTATTTTGTTGAATGTTGCACTCTTCAGATCGTATGATTAAGCGACAATTCAAACGTAAAACTTTTCTTAATTATATGATCCTATAAAAGAGACTGGTTACGTTAATCATCAAATCTTAGTGAAATATTTATTAAAGTAATCATTTAAATGACAAGCCATTAGTGCTGTATTAGTACAGACCACCAATGTGGGCGGAAGAGACAGGAATAAGTTATTGCACATGTTAGGTTTGGGTTCATCAGATCTGTAGAGCATGTAACAACCAGAAAGGGCATAAGAATTGTCAGTTAATACACCCAGGTACTGTCAGTTAACATGCATACGAATTGTCAACACACCCAGGTACTGTCAGTTAACATGCATAAGAATTGTCGACACATCCAGGTATTGTCAGTTAACATTCATAAGAATTGTCAACACACCCAAGTATTGTCAGTGAACATTCATAAGAATTGTCAACACACCCAAGTATTGTCAGTTAACATGCATACGAATTGTCAACACACCCAGGTATTGTCCGTTAACATGCATACGAATTGTCAACACACCCAGGTACTGTCAGTTAACATGCATAAGAATTGTCGACACATCCAGGTATTGTCAGTTAACATTCATAAGAATTGTCAACACACCCAAGTATTGTCAGTTAACATGCATACGAATTGTCAACACACCCAGGTATTGTCCGTTAACATGCATACGAATTGTCAACACACCCAGGTATTTGTCAGTTAACATACATACGAATTGTCAACATACCAGGTATTGTCAGTTAACATACATAAGAATTTTCAGTTAACATACATAAGAATTTTCAGTTAACATCCATAAGAGTTGTCAGTTAACACACCCAAAGTGTGGGTTCGAATCCCGCATGGGACTCAACCCAACAAAAGTACTAAAATCTGTACTTTACTAAGAAAGTGTAATCCCAAATATAACATATGCTACATTTGATCACTTTCTAAAAGGCATTGTGTAATTATATCGTAATGATTCCTTATTTTAAGTCAGCTCAAGAAATTGTGATACTAAAGCTTTAATGATGAAAGCCTATACTACAAGCTACAAACCAACTGCAGCGTGGAGGACTGGAGACATGAACAACCAGTTTTACATCAATACCCGTGTGGTCTCCATGGGGACCATTAAATAGTAGTCCTGGTAATGCTGGTGTTTGTAGTAACAACTTGTTTAGACAATCCATGACAACAAGGTCCAATTGTATCCACACAAGTGGCTTAAGAATTAGAAACATTTTTGCTACTAGTTGTAGAACTGGAAGATCCCCCAGACACTATAAATTGTTTACCAGAAATGTTAATTCTGTTGTTAATTGCTCAAGCAAGGCGTGATGTTATTGATTTTCAAACGAAAAAACTTTATTTATTTGTAAATTAAAATTAAATATTTATTGGTATTATAGTCGAAGAAATTTCCAATTTGTATTGGAAAAGATACAAAAATAGTTCTGACCTGGTAGCAACTAATGTTATCAGAAATAGTTTTAATTGATATATCATCAAAGGACGTATGTCAATAGGCTAGTATTGTGGTTACGGTATTACGTAACGATTACGGTATTATGAAATTAATTTTCAATAGATATGCTTGAGAGTCCATATGGGTGTATAGAGGAGTGTGACACAGACCCTGGGAGCGGGGTACATTCATACGCTGTATGGACAGGAGTAGTGACATGCTGATCAATCATTCAATACATTGATTATGAGGGCAGCAACCATTGAAGACTACTTACCTTATCTACAGTTTGGGGGCTCTGGAGGGGGTACTCAGTGCAACATGTTAATGTTGTGTGAGTTGTAATATCACTGCTAAACAATATATTGTTTTTAGGGGTTTTCTAGACTGAAATGTTGAAGTTAACCCAGAAATTATCTAATAGAGAACTTAATTATGAAATCAGTAAAATAACCATACAAGATCAATATAAACACACAGTTTTAGGTTTATGATAATGAAAAGCAGTACATTGCAAGAAACAGTTGCATTCACAATGAGTAACAGGACCTGTTTACTGTGTGAGTGACTCCCGTATGTCCAGAATCTGTTATGTCAAATGTATTAAAAGAGGCTTTGTCCATTCTCGAATCCAGAGCAGTTTGTTTACAACAACGAGGGGAGGTTACTCTCATTTGTTCACTGTCAATGTTTGCCACTAAAATCTGCCCTTGACATTTTACCAGTGCTTCAATCATTTGCTGCCACTGACAGTAACACCACCACTTACAACAGCCTCTACTACAGTATATCAGTCACAGTGCTATACAGGATATATGAACATACTACTTATATTGATCCATGTTCACAGGTGCATTCATATGGTTAAAAATGTTAAAATATTGATACTGGGCTGACCTTCACAGACACTCACACTTGTCGTGGGTGGATCTGCCGAGGGAGCAGGAAGCCAATATTACATTGATTTGTCTTTTGTTTCACACATGAAAGACATACTGTTTGACAAAAGTCAATTGAAATGAAAACATTTCTGGTGAGTCTTTGAAGTTGTAGCCACTGAAGAAAGTGTTTTTTTCACCAGCCACAGTGTGTCAGTGACTTTTCAGATTCAAGCCTCAATCAGAAATCAAAATGAATATTATTTGGTTTTCCTTTCTATCAGCAACTGCTTTGGTAGATTAAAAAAAATAAAGCCATAAAATTTTCAAACAAGAACTGAAAACTTTTCGATTAGCATATTGTATATGTAGTGTCGCCTTTCAGAGAGATGAACGTACACAACTAAATACGTATAGTGTATTAATCATCAACAATCTCCACTTCAACAAAATTCAAATTATTTTCCCCAACTAAACCAACACACCTAACAATACTATGTGAAAAATGCTATGTTACATTATTGATCATACAAACATGATGTTGTTTTCATCCTACTCCAGCTGATTGGTTGGTGTGTAAAAGCCCTGTAGTTAGTAAACTATTAATAAAGTCCGCCTATATATGTTGCTGGGTTCATCAAGTGCACTGCTAGTCTAGTGTTAAACTGTGATGGCTGTAACTAATGTAGAACGCACTCTACGGCTCATGTATCAGACAATAGGATGCTGCAGCAACACAGGCACTCTTCACCTTTAACATTAGTCTTGTGGAAAACATTATCTTGTCAAGTAACTCGCATAACAAGCCATGTTTGAACACACAGAGAATCTCACCCAATTGTCTTCTGAAGATGAGATGATAAAAGTATAAAATATCCTATATATAGATTCTATTTTATCATCCGCAATCATTTTGACCTGAAAAGTATGCTTTTTATTAGATTTGATATATACAGTGAAACCTGCCAACACCAGCACCTGTCTAATCCGGCACACTGTCAA